CTCTCTCTCTCTCTCTCTCTCTCTCTCTCTCTCTCTCTCTCTCTCTCTCTCTCTCTCTCTCTCTCTCTCTCTCTCTCTCTCTCTCTGTGCCTTGTTCGTGTGCCATCTTTCTGTCCGTCTCCCTGTCTCTCCCTGTCTTTCTCCTCTCTCGCTCTTTGCGTTTGTCTCCTTCTGCTGTCTACATGTAGGTCCTGTTGTCTCCTTCTGCTCTCTAGGTACTTGCTGGTTGATGTGCCGACTTGATCGGGGGATCTTCGTAAGATGGGGGAGGCGAGGACGCGGACATTCTGGGTGAAGTTGTTCGCTAGGGGACAACCACCGTCAGATGCTGTTGCTGTCCCTGTGTGCGACTTTCCAGAACTCACAGTCAGCGAATTGAAGGACATCTTACTGGAGAAATTGAAACCTATCCTGCCTGGTGAAACGTACGCACCATGGATCACCCTTAAGCTTCCCCCGCTGCCGGAGGCAGCAGATGGCAAAGCCACCAAGAAGGCGCAGAGCGATTCAGAAGATGACACCGCAGAGGATGTATACCAGGTAGTAGAGGCTGCTGAAAAGATCGGTGATCTTCCACCAACGGCTGGAAGTAGCAAGCAACCCCTCCTTGCCTTCATTCGGTTCATGGGTAAGGTCATTCTCCCTCCTCCTCCTCCTCCTCCTCCTCCTCCTCCTGCTCCTCCTCCTTCTTTGCTTCATCATAATCTCTTCTTCTTCTTCTTCTTCTTCTTCTTCTTCTTCTTCTTCTTCTTCTGCCTTCCTTCCTTCCTTCCCTCCTTCCTTCCTTCCTTCTCCCTTGTCCCTTCTTTGCCTACTACCTGGGGAAGAGGACAGCTGTGGTGGTTATGGAGTTGAGGACACGCTGAGGCTGGGCTATGTTTGGTCATTGTTGAACTCTGAAGTCGGAGATTTTGAGTTTTTGAACCTTTTGGTGACTTCTGAGTGTTTCATCTGTGTGCTTACCCGATTCCTGTCTGAACTCCCGCCCTCCTATGCGCTTCCCTGACAGACTGTGTGGCCTCAGTCTGCCTCTCTTTCTTTCTTCTTCTTCTTCTTCTTCTTCTTCTTCTTCTTCTTCTTCTTCTTCTTCTTCTCCCTTCTTCTTCTTCTACTTCTTCTTCCCTCTAGCTATAGCACTTGTGCGGCGTTAAAGTGGGATTTAAGAAGATGATTTTTTTCAGAAGAAACTCTTTAAGTTATTAAGATGCTAAGGCTCTCGTGTTTGGAATGAAGATGTAGTAAAGCTTCCATCGCTTGCCCTTTTTGAGCATGGCTGCCGTCTTCCCCTGAACATGAAGCATGGCATCTATAACCGTACCTGCCCCGAAAATTATCGTAAATGCAGATGTAATGACCACGTTCCATGGTCGGTGGAACACAGCCGTAGTCTCTCACTTGTCCTCTGTGTTGGATGCCTGAAGTTTATCAGGCATGTTCAGGCATGTCGGGCCGCAATTCCAGTTGTATTTTTGAAAAGGGCGACGGTCTTGGATCCGAACTCGGGTCTGTATTTCAACAGTTCATCAGGGTACCAACTGAGCTACCGTAGTCCCGTTGGTTTTCCAGATGTTAACAGGAGTCATGGGTTCGAGTCCTTTTGCTGTCATCCAAAGCCATGCAAATGCCAATTGAACTGAAACCTGCCACCACCTCGCTACTTTTGTCAAATCGTTTTTGGCTGGTTGGGGGGCCTGACCGGGTCCCTACGGTCTTCCGCCGAATGGAACGTATGGTCATTACAGCTGTATTTGGGGCAACTTTCAGACTAGATACTGTGTTTACTGCCCAGGGTCCTGTGTGTCTAACAGTTAGCTACCAGAGTCTCTACTGTTAGGTCCCAGGTTCGAGTCTGCTCAGCAACGAAACACGAAAACACAATACAAATAGACGGCGGCCAAACGTACCGGGTACTTGGGCCAGATTTCGGGTTCGAATCAAGGCCTGAGCCCCCCCCCCCCCCCCCCCCTTTTTCTGTGCGCATCTATATGTCGGGTTAGACTTTAGTGCTCTGTAGCAATTACGTTCTATTCTGAAGCAATTACGTTTGTGTGGGTAGTAGCTATGTGCGAAGCTGTTGGTGTCGTGGCGTGACAAATTGTTGTTGTCGGGTTAAATTTTAGAACTCTGTAACTCTCAGGATGACGTGCGGAGTTTGATTTTCAAGTTTCAACAGAAGACGGGTTTCCCTTTTTTTTGCTTTTTTAAAGGGGCGAGACAGCGTTGAGATACCATCGGGAAACTGACTGGGCCCAGGTAATTCAGGAATTTTGTTCATCTTGGATTCGAACTCAGGTCTGCATTTTCAACAGAAGACGGGTTCAATCCAGATTCGAATCAAGCCTGTTTTCTGTTTCAGTATTTTAGGG